ATGTCTACACTTTTGGATAAGTTTCGCATTTGTGATACGATTGACACGACTATTAAACATGAAATCAAATTATTTCACGTTTTCAATGACTCCCAACACAATAAGAATATACTATTTGTTACAAACATTGATAACGTTTATGGTTTGGGAAGAAATTGTAGCGGATGTCTGGGTTTTGGTAACAGTATGGCCGTCCATAGACCGCACAGTATTCCCGAATTATGGGGGAAAGGGGTCCAACAGTTTATTAATGGATATGACTTTGTGGTAGCTATCACTCGCAACAACCACGTGTACAGTTGGGGTGAAAATGATTTTGCACAATTAGGGCGCGGTGTTAGGCAAAGGTATATACATTTTAAACCTGAAAGTATATCGTATTTAAATGACAAAAATATAACGCAAATATGCTGTGGTGTACATCACTCCCTGGCCCTCACCACCGATGGACAGGTGTATGGGTGGGGCAGTTATGATAGGAGTTATGTTGGCCCTGAAAATGAAATCTCTGAAGCATTTGCACCAAAATTACTAGAATTTGATAATAATTATCAAATGAAAAGTATTTACTGTTTTGACACGACATCATTTGCCATTACATTGAATGGATTAGTATATAGTTGGGGTGATAATAGTAATCATCGATTGGGACATGACCATGATACTTCGATAAGAATCCTATCCCCGAAACTAATAGAAAATTTAAACAGTATAAAATGTGTCAGTTCAATATTCACGTCGGACAAACAATTGACATATTTTCTAACAAATGAAAATCTAATATATTCATGCGGACAGTATTTCGATCAAGATAATAAAATGATAGTACAAGAAACTCCCATAAAATATCTATTGCCATCACGTGTCCAACAATTTATAAAGTTTGCCTCGTACCAAATAGATGATGATTTGATAATTTCAAATAACAAGTCAATTTGCAAACTTGGTTTACCAAACGAGCTTGAAAAATATGACTATGATAATTTTATTGACTATTATGCTAGTGAGCACCAAATCAGCTATAATACATTACGCATCGACAATAAACTAGCAAATTTTACTGAAACCCCGCATTTACTACCAACGGTTGTCCCAAAACTGCGACTCAAAAAACTTGATAAATCGGAAACAAATGAACAATGTGAAGGTAATATTTGTGATAAATGTTTTATAAAATTATAATTATTTCTATTTTAAATAGTTTCATCAAATTTAGGAAACAATTCGTATGAAAATCTTTATAAAACTCTTTTCAATGAGTTGTCGCCAATAGGATCGGGAGGTTTCGGAACAGTATTTAAAGTTAAGCATAGATTCGATGAACACATATATGCCGTCAAAAGAGTGGAATTTCAGAGTAAATACAAAATGAGTTTTATTTTTCAAAATTAAATTTCAATTTGTTTTAGATTTTACTGACAATTATTTAAAAAATATTCTGAATGAAGTCAAACAATTAGTAAAAGTTCGCTCAGAATATGTGGTTCAGTATTACAACTCGTGGCCCGAAAGTAAACACCTCTTCATTCAGATGGAGTTCTGTTCACAGAATTTAAGGAATATTCTTTTTGAATGAGTAAACTCTGCTTTCAATGTAAAATTATTTATCAATAGTCATTCATTTTTATTCATCGATTGATCTTTTTGTATATTATAAACTAATATAATATATAGCCTTATAGTAGTTTTATTTATAAAGTTTGTCACTTGTTATAATTGTTTTAAATATAGTCTTAGTAATAAATTACCTGTTAATATATAGTTAATATTTATATATAATATTACATATTATGTACTAACGTGATACATTTAAAATGTCTACACTTTTTGACAAGTTTCGCATTTTCAATACGATTGACACGAATATTAAACACGAAATCAAATTATTTCATGTTTTCGACGACAAAAAAACTGACGAAAAGAATATACTATTTGTGACAAACGATGACACCGTCTATGGTATGGGACGTAATAGTGAAGCGTGTCTTGGATTAGGTCATAGGAAAGCCGTCGAAACGCCGCAAGTAATACACGAATTACGCGGACAACGGATCCAACAGTTTATCACTGGAAGAGACTTTGTGATGGCTATGAATGAGGACAACAATGTGTTCAGTTGGGGACACAATTATTACGGGCAATCGGGCCGAAAAACTACCCTGTTTAGCAATTATTTAAAACCGAAAACTATATCGTATTTTAAATATAAGACTATAACGCAAATCAGTTGCGGTAATCAGCACACCCTGGCCCTCACCACCGGAGGTCTCGTGTACGGGTGGGGTCGTAATAGCAAGGGTCAGGTAGGTTGCCATAGTAAGGATATTGGAAGAGATAATCCAGTGTTGTTAGAATATGAACGCGATTATCAAATCAAATGCATTTTCTGCTTTAAATACAGTTCATACGCCATTACTATCGACGGTATAGTATTCAGTTGGGGTGATAATAGTCACCACCAATTAGGGCACGACATACCGGAAAATGTGTTGTCACCCAAAATGATCCCGCAGTTAAGTGCTACGAAATGGATTAGTTCTACTAATTTGGATAATTGTAGTATTACTTGTTTTTTCACAAATGACAATTTGATTTATTTTTGCGGTTCATATAATAACGAGCTTAAAGAGTTGAAAGTCCAAATAAGCCCGATAAAATTTCATGCACAATTAAACGCCCAGGAATATATTGAATTTAAATCATATTTAAGATATGATCGAGCAATATTGCGAAGTGATGATAAAATTTATAGCTTAATATCGCCCGACTCAATAAAAGAATATGACTATGATGATTTTATTGATTATTACGCCAATGAACACCAAATAACTTATAGCACAATACTCGTCAATCAAGATGCTATTAACAAAGAAACTAATAAATCATCTGAAGGTAATAATTTGTAAATTAAATTTATAAGAATTCCATATATTATTTACATAAAAATACTGTATACAATATACTGCATATTTGCTAATAATTAGCATGTGAAATGTCTTTCAATATTCATAACAGCTTCATCGGGTTTTAAAAATATTTCATTAAAAAGTGTTTCGAGTGCAACAAAACAGGAATTAACTCATCGCCCAAAGGACGATAATAATCAAAACGATGGTAATTGGACAACATAGGATATAGATTTATATATTAATAAACATGTTACTATTTAAATAAAGGAAACAATTCTTATGAAAGTCACTATAAAAGCCAATTCATTGAGTTGTCGGCCATGGGTTCCGGAAGTTTCGGAACTGTATTTAAAGTAAAGCACAGATTTGATGAACATATATATGCCGTAAAAAGAGTACAATTTAAGAGTAAATACAAAATACATAAATATTTTAAAATATAATTTTTTTAGTAATCATTTATACCTTTAGATTGTACGGATGAATATAAGAAAGTTGTTACGAGAGAAGTAATGAATTTAGCGAAAGTGCGATCAGAATATTGTGTTCAGTACTTCAGTTCGTGGGTAGAGGTGCACGAACTTTATATACATACAGAATTCTGTTCACAGAATTTGCGGAATATTCTTGAAGTGAAACCACAAGTATTTGGTCGACAAATTGGAGACGCGATGGATTGTGTTGAGTATTTCATTTCGTGTGAAATATTGAGACAAATCTTAGAAAGTGTTCAGTATTTGCATGAATTGAATCCAAAGATCATTCACAGAGACCTCAAACCAGAAAACATATTAATCGATGAGAATGTAACGAACGGTAGATTTGTTAAGTTATGTGACTTTGGTTTGGCTACAGTTCACGACAAAGACATAAATTATATGACACTTGATAAACACTCAACAGGTGTGGGCACTGTAAAGTACCAGGCCCCAGAGATTGCCCAGGGTGCTGCATATGGTCATAAAGTAGACATTTATAGTATTGCATTAATTGGCGCTGAAATATTTGAATTTGACTTATTTTTTGTTGACCCTGATAAGTATGCAATTTAGTTATTTATTGTAATATAAATTTATATTAAATTAATTTTTATTCATATATATAGTTCTGAAAGCCTGTACTCCGGGAATGAAATCCTAAACACAAAAGTATATGAATTGCTAAACATATTGCAGTCAATGGTTACACACGTCTGGAACCGACGGCCTGACTGTTCCCGTGTTTTAAACAAATATAACGATTGGGCTGTCAATGAAATGATTGTCATCGACACAAACATGGACAAATTGACCACATTTATCAATTCGCCCACATCAAATTTATTTAATAACATTATAACTTATAAGTTTAAAAATTACATGTCCAATGAGCAATCGGGCACCGGGTGCGCACAGGCACCTGCACCCACCAGCACTGTATGACTACGTAGCCGCCACCGCCAATGATATCTGGGTTTATGTGGGGGCCGGTATGTGAGTGCCGACAGAAACAATATATTGTCACACATATAGTCATAATAACTACACTACAGTACACTTTATAATGACATACTTCACGATATCTTATCATACCTTTCCCTTTAAGATACCCGAGAAATATGTGACAAAAATCAATTATTTTTTGCGTTAATCTTAGTGTATGTGTCGATACATGTCAGGGATGCAGAGTACAGGAGCTGTTCCCGTACTACTTCATGAGACTTATACAGTACTAACAATACAATACAGTTAAACAGTAATATAAATTTAATACAAATAAACTACTACAAGTTAAAGTATATTAATATGTACAGTATGTTCAATGTGTCTAGCATATTTATGCCCAATACTATTGTACTATTATTTAGTCTCTAAATTATGAAGTGCTTGACATCCCTGACCCCTCAGACACTGGGATGGGATGTAAAAATTTTTACATTTAACACAAATCTAATATGAAATCATGTATATAGTTAAAAGTAATCGCATTTTTGTCACAATAATCCAAACATTATATCCCATAATATACTCATAAGGCGTCATTCACAAAGTACATACGCAAAATTTTGGTCAAAAATTGACCCCCTCCCCCCTACACGCCCATCGTACATAGGAGTTTAACATGGGGACATACGCTTTGGCATGACCCCCCTCCCGCCTAGGCATGCGTATGTACTTTGTGAATCACGCCTAAGTAGTTCATAAGAGATAATATAAAAAGTACTTTAAATCAAGAATTTTGACCATTTTTTGGATTAAATTATTTATATATTAAATCATATGAATCAAAATATCAAATAGAGGCCTATTTCTGAAACTGAGTAATGCATTGGTTTTCACATTTAACATATAATTTTCAATATAAATTAGTAGTAAGAAATAAGAAATAGGCCTCTATTTGATATTTTGATTCATATATAGATTTACGACATTTAATATAATTAAAAGTAAAAGTCAAATAAAATATTTACAAATCACATGAATTATTATAAAATGTAATTATTTTTCAAATATAAATGTCTTTTCATGTGTTTTTCAAAAAATAAATTTAATTTAACTTATATTTAATTATATTATTTAATAATTATTTTAAACATATTTGTTAATCAATCCCTATGTGTGCTCCAGTACAATTTGATGTATTTATAATATTTAAAATATAATGTCACAGATTATATCTATTTATGAGTAATTATTATAATAAAATTTATTTAATTATTGATAAAAAAATAAAAATTAAATCAATTAATATTACTAAAAACAAAAATTACTAAAACGGTAAAAAATTATTAAAAACAATATCTTTTGGGATTTAATATAATTATATTTATTCAAAAATTAATTAATTGAAATTATGTCTATGATCTATAGCATAAGATAAATAATATTTTGAAATTTATATAAATTTTATTATTTCATTTTATCAATATANAAATGTCTACACTTTTGGATAAGTTTCGCATTTGTGATACGATTGACACGACTATTAAACATGAAATCAAATTATTTCACGTTTTCAATGACTCCCAACACAATAAGAATATACTATTTGTTACAAACAATGATAACGTTTATGGTTTGGGAAGAAATTGTAGCGGATGTCTGGGTTTTGGTAACAGTATGGCCGTCCATAGACCGCACAATATTCCCGAATTATGGGGGAAAGGGGTCCAACAATTTATCAATGGATATGACTTTGTGGTGGCTATCACTCGCAACAATCACGTGTACAGTTGGGGTGAAAATGATTTTGGACAATTAGGGCGTGGTGTTAGGCAAAGGTATATACATTTTAAACCTGAAAGTATATCGTATTTAAATGACAAGAATATAACGCAAATATGCTGTGGTGTACATCACTCCCTGGCCCTCACCACCGATGGACAGGTGTACGGGTGGGGCAGTTATGATAGGAGTTATGTTGGCCCTGAAAATGAAATCTCTGAAGCATTTGCACCAAAATTACTAGAATTTGATAATAATTATCAAATCAAAAGTATTTACTGTTTTGACACTACTTCATTTGCCATTACATTGAATGGATTAGTATATAGTTGGGGTGATAATAGTAACCATCGATTGGGACATGACCATGATACTTCGATAAGAATCCTATCCCCGAAACTAATAGTAAATTTACACAGTATAAAATGTGTCAGTTCAATATTCACGTCGGACAAACAATTGACATATTTTCTAACAAGTGAAAATTTAATATATACATGCGGACAGTATTTCGATCATGGTAATAAAATGAATGTACACGAAGCTCCCATAAAGTTTCCATTGCCATCACATGTGCAACAATTTATAAAGTTTGACTCGTATCATATAGATGATGATTTGATAATTTCAAATAATAAGTCCATTTGCAAGCTTATTTTACCAAACGAGCTTGAAAAATATGACTATGATAATTTTATTGATTATTATGCTAGTGAGCACCAAATCAGCTATAATACATTATGTGTCGACAATAAACTAGCAAATTGTACTGAAAAACCGCATTTACTACCAACAGTTGTCCCAAAACCGCGATTAGAAAAACTTAATAAATCGGATACAAATGAACATGGTGAAGGTAATATTTGTGATAAATGTATTATAAAATTATAATTATTTCTATTTTAAAATAGTTTCATCAAATTTAGGAAACAATTCGTATGAAAATCTTTATGAAACTCTGTTCAATGAGTTGTCACCAATAGGTTCGGGAGGTTTCGGAACAGTATTTAAAGTGAAGCATAGATTTGATGAACAGATATATGCCGTCAAAAGAGTGGAATTTCAGAGTAAATACAAAATGAGTTTTATTTTTCAAAATTAAATTTCAATTTGTTTTAGATTTTACTGACAATTATTTAAAAAATATTCTGAATGAAGTCAAACAATTAGTAAAAGTTCGCTCAGAATATGTGGTTCAGTATTACAACTCGTGGCCCGAAAGTAAACACCTCTTCATTCAGATGGAGTTCTGTTCACAGAATTTAAGGAATATTCTTCTCGAGAAACCTCAAGTATTTGGTCGAAAATCAGGAGAAGCTATGGATTCTGTCGAGTATTTCATTTCATGTGAAATATTCCGCCAGATCTTAGAAAGTGTTCAGTATTTGCATGAATTGAATCCACAGATCATTCACAGAGACCTTAAACCAGAAAACATATTAATCGATGAAAATGTAACGAACGGTAGATTTGTTAAGTTATGTGACTTTGGTTTGGCTACAGTTCATGACAAAGACATAAATTATATGACACTTGATAAACACTCAACAGGCGTGGGAACTATAAAGTACCAGGCCCCAGAGATAGCTCAGGGTGCTGCCTATGGTCACAAAATTGATATTTATAGTCTTGCATTAATTGGCGGTGAAATATTTGAATTTGACCTATTTTTTGTTGACCCTGATAAGTATGCAATTTAGTTATATATTGCACTATAAATTTATGTTAATTTAATTTTTATTCATATATCTAGTTCTGAAAGCCTGTACTCCGGGAATGAAATCCTAAACACAAAAGTAAATGAATTGCAAAACATATTGCAGTCAATGGTTACACACGTCTGGAACCGACGGCCTGACTGTTCCCGTGTTTTACACAAATATAACGATTGGGCTATCGATGAGACGACAATCATAGACAAAAAGATCAACGAATTGACAACATTTATCAATTCACCCACATCAAATTTATTTAATAAGGTTTTAACTTGTAAGTTTAAAAATTACACGCCTAATAAGAACTCGGGAACCGGGTCCAAACAGGCAATCGCACCTACACCCGCACCCACACGGGCCCTGACGGCTATCGCACTGTACGACTACGAGTCGGCCGCCGTCGATGAGATCAGTTTCGATGCCCGAGAGGTGATCACCGACATTGAGATGATAGACGAGGGCTGGTGGCGGGGCAGGTGTCGGGACAAAGTAGGCCTATTCCCCGCTAACTATGTACAATTGCAACAGTAATAGGCTTGTGGGCTGGTAGATGTGTAGGGAACTTCCATGTTGGCCAGAATTTTTCCAGGAATCGAGATCCGACTCCAGGCTCAGTTTGAGGTCTGACCTGAAGGTAAGGAACTCCAGGAAATTAATTTAAACTAATTCAATGTTATATACCTTAGTAGAAATCTTATGTATTCATAATATTTAAAATATAATGACGGATATTATGTTTATTTATGAGTAATTATTATAATAAAATTTATTTAATTATTGGTAAGGAATTTAATTTTAAATTGTATGCGTGTAAAAGGGAGTGAGTGAGAGAGAGAGAGAGAGAGAGAGAGAGAGAGAGAATATATATCATATATAATTATTTTTAAAACAATACAAACGTTTTTAATGAAATATAAATTATAATAATTATAATTGATAAAAGTTACAATACAGGTAATAATGTACAAATCCAACGGTTTAAGTACAAAAGTTATTATCAGTAAATTTAGGTTGACAATGTTAGCAAAGGTTTCAATTGCTATGTTGATAGTATAGTAATAAATGTTTTATCAAAATATAAATATAATGAACTTACACAATTAATAATACAGTAAAATAATTATTTATTAATAGTAACGAATGTGCACTATGAGTTAATCAATATTAAACGTTTAATTAATAATATGATAATTGACTATTAATCAGTATAACAAATAAAAGTATAATACATAAATATTAAAGACAAAATAAAAACAAATGAATCTTATATACTGTATTAAATTATTTTATAATAACACCACCCGTTATTTTATTTGTAACATTTATATGAATCGGTATAAAGTTTATCACATATTTTTACGACAATACCAATATATTATAACACTAAAAACTAATGATAATTTATATTTAAGTAAGTACACATTCTTTGACAATAATCAGTATAGAGTTATTGATAATTTAATATAATTTTTAAGGTGTAACATTTTTAAAAATTTATTTTTAAATTTTTCAAATATTTTGTGCAAAACATGTCCAGTTTATTGGATAAGTTTCGTATCTGCGATACGATTAACTCGAGCATCAAAAGTGAAATCAAATTATTTCACGTTTTCAACGACGACTATAAAGAGAAGAATATACTGTTTGTCACAAACAATGACACCGTCTATGGTATGGGCCGTAATAGTAAGGGGTGTTTGGGTTTGGGTCACCAGACGATAGTCAGAACTTCAGAAATGATACCCGAATTGTGTGGTCAACGGATCCGACAGTTTATCAGTGGCTCGGACTTTGTGTTGGCTATCAATGAGGACAACCATGTGTTCAGTTGGGGATGCAATAGTGAGGGACAGTTGGGTAGGGGTGTGTTTGACTATGCGGGACCTGAGAAAATATCATTTTTCAATGATAAGGACCTAGTACATATTAGTTGTGGCTCTTATCATACTATGGCGCTCACCATCGATGGACAGGTGTACGCGTGGGGCTATAATAATTACGGGCAAATAGGGTGCGGCGATGATACATGTAAAGTGGTGCCAACACCAGTATTGTTAAAATTTGACAAAAACTATAAAATCAAAACTATTTACGTTTTTAATAACAATTCATTTGCCATTACTATCGATGGTTTGGTGTTCAGTTGGGGCAGCAATTTGTTACACCAATCGGGACTGAAAACTTCGGAAGACATGTCGTCACCGAGAGGTATAAACCGAAATAATAGGATAGAGAATACGTCAGACAACATATGGTCGCCGATATTGATCCCAAACCTAAGTGATATCATAGCAATTGGATCAGCAAGGAGTGGCAGTGATAGTAATATAACTTGCTTCCTATCAGACAAGCATGCTGTTTATATTTGTGGCACAGATTATTTTGCTCGTAAGTATATAGAAGCGCCAGTCAAGTTCCCAAGTAACACTAGCTTACTGAAACTAAATGTACAATATTTCAACGAGTACGCTTCATTTTTTAACAATCAACAAGTTATAATATTAAATGATAGTCAAATTTGTGGCATTGTAACGTATAGGAATTTTCGACAAAATGAATATTTTACATTTAAAGATTTGATGAAATATAAGCACACTAATTTTATCGATCATTACGCCAATGAATATCAATTAAGCTATAATACACTTACGATAAGTACAAATGTTGTGGACAAGTTTGTGGACACAAAACAACGGTATCAACGAAAATTAAATGAAAATCCAAAAGTTGCCACAAAACCAGTTGAAACTAAACGGGAAGTTAACTTAAGTATTGACAATACTATTGTTACCAGCACCCAACAATCTACACAACATATAAAATCACAATTAAGTAAAATTGAGGATTCAGTTGAAGGTATTTATATAATATTTATAAATTTAGTAATAAATTCATAAAACTATTTAAATTATTTAATATTTTTAAATAGTGTTAGAATTAGGAGAGAATTTGTCTGAAAACCTTTACCACAAACTGTTCATTGAGTTGTCGGCCATTGGTTCGGGATATTTTGGAACTGTATTTAAAGTGAAGCATAGATTCGATGAACAGATATATGCCGTCAAAAGAGTTGAAATTAAAAGTAATTATAGGAAATAATTAAAATAATTTTTATAAAAATAGTAATTTATGTAAAATATATTATAGAATCTACTGATGAATACATGACACAAATTCTGAATGAAGTGAAGAATTTAGGAAAAGTGCGCTCAGAATATGTGGTCCAGTATTATAACTCATGGCCCGAAAGCAAACACCTCTACATTCAGATGGAGTTCTGTTCGCATAGTCTACAGAATATTCTTGATCTTAAACCACAAGCATTTGGTCGACAAATGGGAGACGCGATGGATTGTGTCGAGTATTTCATTTCGTGTGAAATATTGCGACAAATCATCGAAAGTGTTCAGTATTTGCATGAATTGAATCCACAGATCATTCACAGAGACCTCAAACCAGAAAACGTATTAATTGCTGAGAATGTAAGGAACGGTAGATTTGTTAAGTTATGCGACTTTGGTTTGGCTGTCGAACACCAGACGGCATATCAGAGTCATTCCAAATATAAGGGAACTCCTAAATATATGGCCCCAGAATTGCATCAAAGTAAGTATACCACAAAAGCAGACATTTATAGTTTGGGTATTATTTCAATGGAATTGTTTGATATTACCTTAGAGTAAGTAATGTTTACAGTTTTTGTTTGGAAATTTTTTAATTTAATAATATTTTTATTTAGAGGTGGCGAATTGGATAAATACAAAAGCAGTTTATTTCATGAAAATATTGAAAATAATTTACAAACTTTCGTGTCTATGGTATCTTATGGTCCATCGACTAGACCTGCTTGCCATGATTTATTACAAACATGTGATAAATGGTCACTGAACAAGCACATTATAGACGCCAATATTAGTGAATTTAATCTATTCATAAATCAACATAAATCAGATGAGTTTGTAATATTTAATGAAATTATATTGCATAAATTTGTAATTAATAAGACAAAATAACTCATTTATAACAAATGGGAAGTTTGTAATACAATATTTGAATATTGTACTTGGTAATATTTATATTTAAATATATTATATTATTCTAGGCTGTTTAATATTGTTATTAATTAATCTAGTGCATTAAAATGGCAGTTTTTCTATTAATTTATTATTAACAACTTTGAAATATTTATGAAATATTGTACTTCTATTTAACATATTTTAGATCATTGTATAATCGTTAGCAGGTAGACTCAGATATTATTATCTTATAAAACATAATTTTAATGATAGTATTACATAAAAATTATTTTAGACAAATTCACTTTGTTAACCATTGTAACAGTAAAATAAATTAAATTAATAATAAGTCATAATATTTTTAATTAATGCTGCAGACTTACCAAACTATTTTAATCATGATGTACTGAACATAATAATTAATAAATTAATAATAAAATTCAATTCTAAAATTGAGTACTGAATTGAACATGTGTGTTTCAACAAATAAATTAATTACAACAATATGAGCATATAATTTTCGTGACTATAATCACATATTGTACTTTTATTTATAATAAACCAAAATTAAACATGTAAATAAAATAAAATTTTATTATCATGATCAAAATTCTTATTGAGTCAATGCATCATTAGCGGTCCCAATAACACCATCAACGGCACCGGTAGCATCACCAACAACACCTTGTACAGCATTGGTGGCATCGGGAACTGGGCAAGGTATGTCCTCAACTGTGCCAATAGCACTTCCTAACTCATCTTGCACATCTTCATGGATATCAGTCAGGGGTAATCCAGTCTCCTGGTCAATCTCACTTTCTATGGGATCCAGACCTTCACCGATACCTTGGGCACCCTCGTTAAAGCCTTCTGTGAGGGCAGCTTTACCCTGGTTATCAACGTTTACGACGGCTGCTGAAGCATCCCCAACGGCTTCACTTCCAAAGTTCCCGACTGTATTCGTAATACCGGCGGCACTGGTGAATATGGGACTGACGGGCTCGCCAATACTTAGTCCCTGGGATTGGTATAGATTTTTAATTAGACTATTCTCTTATGAGTATACAAAACATGAACATCAACTCTGCTTTCATATGACTGTTGAGTATTATTTAGCACTATTACAGTCGTATGAAAGCGGAGTTAAAGTAATTGTTTTGTTTATTTTCAAGAGATAAATAGCAATTATTACAAATAAATAGATTTACAATAAAATAATATAAAACCTAGCATGCAGATACAGTATAGCATACATACGTAAATGATATTTGTATCAATATGCTATAGTGTATATTAATTTTAATTTTTACAATTAAATAAATAAATAGTACAAAGTGTATAAATATATTATTTAAAAATTGTACAGTGACAGACTTAAGTTTAGAGTCACGCATGTTTTTGTGGACAAATTAATCGGGAGACCAAGAAACTTACAATAATTAGTCATGACATTAGATATCACCACAAGAAAATGTTCTGATCAGTTTTGGTCAGTATATATTTACCCGTTCGGCCGCAGTGACCAAAAGTAAAAAACGTTTTTTTGAAAAGACTGACAAATGTTTAGAGTCATAGCGGTAAACCGTATTTATCTGGCCAGGGATCAATTCACTTGTCTCGGGAAATCCTCAATACATTAAATTGAGTTAATTAAAATATAAAAATATTTTACACCGGTTAAATCGAACATCGGGGAAGCCGTGGAGCCGGTATTTGTACCTTATGTTCGGGAGCTCGGGAAAGTGACCACTAAGACAATTCTTGTGTTTAAACCGCCCGAAACTATTTTAAATAATATAATTTATTATCCTAATTGATAAAATTTACAAAATCTTAACCGGTACTGCCAATAGACATCCCCCGATTATTCCCGAACTCATTAATGGTGGCCAGAATTTGATTGACTAATTGGATTTTACCAAAGAATATCTAAAAATGTCCACCACTGTTTTCTCTATAATATTCAATTAACAAATTCTGTTTAAAAATTTATTTTATCGGTCAATTGACCAGTTTATAATTTACA